GGCAGAAGAAGAGAGTATTCGCGCTACATATCCACCGGTTTTAGTACCTGTCGTACATTTTGCACATGTCCCACTGTGCATTACAGGTCGCGAATGCATATTTCTTACTAGGCGTCGCCTCATAGATTCTACGAGAAGAAAACACATACTCAATAAGCAACACATTTAGTTGCCACACACTGTTTTGTTCACGTCCATGGCTACTTCCGCACACATTTTAGCAGTAGCCGAGCATGAATTTTGATACGTAACTTTCGCTGATTCGAAGGACATTAAAGGGGAACTGAAGTGGCTTGGTGTTTGAGAAAAACACACACTCAAATTGTCTTCATTTGACCTCCAGGGTCACTGATATTGAGACTATTTTTCAATTTGTTGCCCGTAGGCTGCAGAAAATAATTTTTAAAGTAATGTTCAAGGCCTCTTTTTGCAGAGCGTGACGTCATATACAGAAATTTTCGTAATCTTCTTTTCTCAGGCATCTTCAGCGCCTATCAAAGCTATGTACGCGCTCACTTGTTACTTTCAAAAAAAAAAGGGGGGGGTGGGGAGGCGGGGGGGGGGGGGAATCCGTCACAACTTGTGTCAGAGCGTGAAAATGTATCAGGCAGGCTTAAAACAGCACGCGTTGTCTAAACGAGTGACACGCATATGGCGGCCGAAAGATCTGCGTATGACGTAACGACTGGTCGGAGGGTTTTCGTGTTTTCTCGCATTTAGTTACAGCTTGGGGAAAAACGAACGAAATATTCAGATTCAAGCGATAAAACTTCTCTAGATTTCCTTTCTAAATACTTTTTGAAAGACCTCTTTAGCTTTCCTTTAAAAAATTAATGCAAGTTTACGCGACTGATCCTCAACGGCAAAATATTTTAGAGCTAAATGTAAGCTACATTCGCTGCAAGCCAATATGGATCTGTATATGCTATATAACACATATGGTGCATCCACATCAATAATATTGAACAACCTGGGCCGCAAGCACAGTCCTGGCGTTTAATGTAAATTTTTATTTTATTTGCACGATCAATGACATTACAATACTCTCCTGTCAGATACGTTTTCAACTTTGAAAGATTGGCGAAGCAAGCCATTATATGCGCAAAAAAAGTGGTCAATATTGCGAAAAGAACAGGCGTATTTGCGCAGCGCGAATTCTAACCCGGTATTATGAGAGTAGTTTCGGAGGAGCAGACGACGTTCGAGTGAAAGGGCGCTGAGCGCCGGTCTTAGAGAAGCACTTTAATACGGTTCACAATGCTGTCGCATTTCAACGGCAGTAAACAGAGCAATATCGACGATATATATATATATATATATATATATATATATATATATATATATATATATAATATATATATATATATATATATATATATATATATATATATGTATATATCTTTTTCAAGACTTTAGAAATTAAAGGATTGTTAACGCGTCATCTTTTGTCATTTTCGCTGTGAGGATTATTGGCTTCATTGTGCCGCGTAGCCGTGGAGTAACAGCGGATGGGTATTACAATCCATGCTTGCCGTCAGCGTTGACGTCATCACGACAATATTGTTTCACTTAGCGGTAAGTTTTTGCTCTCGTATTCTTCCCAGTGGATACATTGAACTCTAAGATATCCCCCCACGCTTTTATATTAAAAAGAAACTGGCTGCAGAAACCACTCTTTTTGTTTGTCTATGAATTGCGTTAGCAACTGTCCTCCTAGATAACGACGTCAAGGACATCTAAGACGACCTCTTCAACGACATCTAAGGCAATCTCAAGGACAACCTAGAGTAGGCGCATGTGTTTCTGTGCGAAAAAAGCTGCTTCTAAAGCACTTCTGTCAACGTTATGGCGCATACTAATTTTTATATCAATTTTATCAGTAATTGGCCGAAGAGCAGAATAACTAGAAAAACGCCGCTTTAGTACCTGTAACACCTTTTTGTACGTATCCCCCTCTTCATTACAAATCGCGAATTTATGTTTCTTACTAAACGTCACGTGATAGTTACTACCTGAAGAGAAATTATACTCAATAAGAAACCAATCTAGTTTTCTCACAGTGTTTTGTTCCAGTTCATAACTGCCTCCGCAGACATTTCGACAGTACCCGGGGAATAATGTCGGCATCTAACTTTCGCCAATTCGGCGGCCATTAAAGCGGAATTGATGCGGTTTTGTTTTTCAGAAAAAAAAAAGCAAAAACAAAAAACACTTAGATTGTCTTTATTTAGCCTCCGGGATCCCGAATATCAAGAATATATATATTTTTTTTTCTTTTTTTTTTTTTTCAATTCGTGGCACGGAGGCTGCAGAAGATAATTGTTAATGTACCGTCCAATACCCTTTTTCGCCGAGCATGACGTCAAATACCGAATGTTCGGAATTTCCCCTCTCACGCATCTTCAGCGCCTATCAGTGCTATGTACGCGCGCACTTGCTACTTTCAAGGTCACAAAAAACGCGTCACTACTGGTGTCAGTGCGAGGAAATAAAACTGGCAAGCTTGAGACTGCACACCTTGTCCAAAAGAGGAACACGCGTTTGGAGTCCAAAATACCTGCGTATGACGTAACGACTGGTGGGAGGATTTTCGTGTTTTATCGCGTTTATTTACAACTTTGGGGAAAACGAATGTGATATTCAGATTCACGTGATAAATATTCTTGAGTATCCACCTGTTACTCGTTTTTCTTTTTTAAGAAACACTTTATATTTTCTTTAAAAATATTATGCGAGCTTGCGCGACTGATGCACAGCGACATTAATTATTTTAGAGCTAAATCTAACAATTACCGGCGCTGTAGGTCGACATTGACGCGTATATGCTGCATATGAAATATGCTGCATCGACATCAACATCATTTAACAACCTGGACCGCACGCACAGTTTAATCATTTGATCTAATTTTTTTCACTATTAAAGGGCAACTCCGCTTCTTTTTTTAGTAGTGCAAAACAATACAGTTCTCTTTGTTATCATCTACAAAGCCCACAAAGCAAATATTAAGATGAAATTCCGCCTAGAAGTTTATTAAAATCGCTTTCAAAATTCAACAAGCACGAATCTGCTGGTTTTGGATGAGACGTGCGGACCAGACAACACTGCCCGGCTGCATTTCCGCTTCCTCCAAATTTCTCCTCCCGGCACGTCCGTGACGTCATCAAGCATGTACAGGTTTTTTTCATTTTGTTTTATTTCCCGGGGAGAGCAGCGCTGGCAGCGCCGTGCGGCCGTGCGACGTGAGAAACGTGAACGACGCGCTCGGCCGGCTCCCTACTGATCAGCCGACGCCACCGACGCCTCGTCGCCTCGTTGAGCGCGGTTTGTGTGCGGTGCGATGCCTGTAAAAAAACGGAAAAGCAACGGCTCTCGGTGTTGTGTCACGGACTGCTCGCATTACCAGTTGAGCAGCCCAGGAGTCCTTTTCCACGTGTTTCCTCCCGCCGGCAGCGAGCGTCGGAAACTTTGGACTGACGCCGTAAACGGATCGGGCTCCACGAAGCCTTTATCTCCAACGGCCCGTGTATTGGTCTGTTCGGATCATTTTTTACCGGAGTGTTACGAGAAGAATCTGCGCGTGTTAGCCGACGGTGGTCTCTCGACGAAGCACTCGAGGTTGAAGCTGGACGCCGTGCCGTCCGTCTTCCGTGGCAAGACAAGTCCCAAAACAGCGGACTGCTCATCGGTGAAACGTCGTCGAACCCAAGTACGTATTTTCGGTTGTTACCGCGTGTTTCTATCGAGCCCTTTCACACTCAAACACTATGCGCATCGCCATAATAGTTTGCACACAGGTTTGACCGAAGCTGCAAGACCGAGCTTGCAGATTTGCTTACACTTTAGCTGGGTGCCTACTGCGAGCCCACATACGCTCGCACTCACTTGGTATTGCTTCATTGCCCCCACAGAGTGGAGACCAAAATACAGATGTAGTGTCTGGTTTGCCGGCAGACACTACACTTGAGGATGAATCGTCGCCAGAAGCACCCGCACAGTGCTCTAGACGAGTATGTACTCGTGTTTATATGTTGTTTGTTGTACCTGCCAACACTATCACATGGTGCACCACTCTTACAGAACAGATGCCAAGTGACTGTTGCAATGACAGAGTGCAGCAGAAAGGCTTCTGCACATGGATGGTATTCATGAGTGAGCAACCGAACTAAACTCGGGAATAGTCAGAGGACCTGTGTTTATGCCCACCAATAGCTTCGCGTTGCCGGTCGTTCTGAACAGATCCCCATTGATTGTGCGACTTGTGGTTGCTGCCCACCAATAGCATGTTATTGCTAAGCCTGCTGTGCAGATATTTTGCTTGATTGATTAGTGCTTGTGGTTGTCGAATCTGTGTTGCGGACCCAACCTGAGTTTAGATAAACCCACATGTTCTTGACCTAGAGCTGGGTACTGTCTCTCTTCGACATCGGGTCCAATCGACGGTGTATGTGCACCCCCTAATCGCAGTCATCACAATGCTATCACTTCATGCATCACTCTTGCAGAACAGGAACCAAGCCACTGCCGCTGCACCAGAACACAGCAGCACAGTCCCAGCGTTTGACAGTTTGTTTTCGGATGCTTCGCCCGGTGACAACTCCGAGGAAGCCACGGGAGCTCAAAAGATGCCACTCAGGGAGCCTGTTGACATCCAACGGAATCAAGTAAGTGCAGAATGATCTAGCAAAGTATGTACTCTTGACAAACAAAATGTAAGGGGGCAAGGGAGCTGGTGGTAAGTTTATCATTGTTGAATAACCTGAGACTTGTCTTTTTTCTGTCTTCACTGCAATCTCGGGTAATTCAACAATTACCTACTTTTTGTCTACTTTGCTGCATGTTGGAATGTCTTCAGATGCTATCACTTCATGTATCACTCTTGCAGAACAGGGACCAAGCCACTGCCCCTGCACCAGAACACAGCAGCGCAGCCCCAGCGTGCAACAGTTTGTCGCATGATGCTTCACCCGAGGACGACTCTGAACTGGACAAGAGAGATTGCCAAGCATCACACAGTGAATCTGTTGACCACCTTCCAGATCAAGTTGGTGCACACTCCAGTGTATTTACATGTGTATTTGTGAGCCGACCACCTAGATGCAGCGCATGGAGCCAGACACATGCAAGTGTGCTATCAAAAGGTACCTGCGTAGGAACCATTTTTACTCTGTATCCTAAATATTGTTTTTGATGTGCCAGGTACACAGACATCAAACTTTTGGTCTGCCAGCAGAGGTGTGCAGACCGAAATCCCTTTTGAAACCTCAGTCGAGATTCAGGCGTCAACCACGTTGCCATGTAGGTGGATGTAGTGACTTTATATAGACTTACTGTTATAAAGAAGTAACCATAAATGAGTTTTGGGTGCAATACACTTTTGTTGAAGATTTAGTACGCCGAAATGTTGGTCCAGAATATTAGTTTGTTTCGCTAGTCACAAGCCAAAACTCTCCGGGAGACGAAGCTGATATCCCTGGACATCAAGGAACCTCCCCAGAGGGTGGCGGGCAGTCACGCCCGTGGTGTTCCTCGCCTCCATGTGGCATAATCCCAACTCCTTTGGAATTCAATCTCACAACTGAGCTTCTGGGACCCGAGGCTGACCCTTTGGACACCGGCGACGAGTCCAGCGACTTCAATGAGTCAGAGGAGACGTCTACCGAGCCAGACACAAGCTACAGACCCAACGATTCCGTCAACAGCAGTTATGGGGCAGATTCTTCTGACACCAGTGATGACTCCGTGACCTCGGATGATGGAAGACCTCACGAGTATGTGTTTTCTATCTTCTGAAAAACCATAATTTTATACTATGACTAGGATCTAGCTAGGTATTTTTTGTTATTTTCAAGTGTGACTAAAATAATGAAATAACAAGACAGGAAAAAATATAGAGGGGATAAAAACAACATACTCTGAAATTGGAAGGGTTGTAACTGTACTGCTTGTTTTGTTTCGCAGGGAGTGCAACGTCTCTGCTGAGGCGGCTGACCCTCTGATGGAAAAAAAATATCTGGTCTGTGCTTCGAAGCTCCTAGAGTTGTTTTCGATCTGTAAGGAGTGCCTGGCCCCAACAGAGACGAAACTGAAGCAACGGGGGACCCTGCTTCACGCCGTAACTACATGTGTTAGGGGCCATACGACTGTATGGGAAAATCAGCCAACGATTAACGGCAAGGCGCTGATGAACATCGTCTTGCCGGCCGCTATAACATACTCTGGCGCCAGCCCTACACGTGTTCTGCGCCTTCTGGGGTCAATAGCTGTCGCTGTGATACACAAGACTCAGTTCTTCAAGGTCCAACGCTGTCTGGTCTTCCCAGCTGCAACAAAGGTGATCACACCTGCAGATTACAAAATTGCTTGCTAAAAGGTCATTCTTTGTAGTGAAGATTGACGTTTGTGATTTTTTTTAATTTCAAAGGTCTGGAAAACGGAGCAAACTGTCCTCCTGACATCAATCTGTGGCACTGGCCTTCACTTGGCCGGTGACGGCCGTGCAGACTCACCCGGCTATTCTGCCAAATATGGGACCTATAGCTTGCTAGAAACCAACATCAACAAGATCCTGCACTATGAGGTTGTCCAGGTAAATACTGGTTAAAAAATTTTTTGGAAAAGTACTAGCCAATCGTGTTGCGTACGTGAAATGTTCTGCAATACTCTGCTTTTTCAAGTAGGAAACACAATTTCCTAGCAATTTGCCATACATTTTAAATGCGAAGCATTTCTGAGTGGACTCTTCTCCCTTTGCACAGGGGGCTGGTTGGGTCCATGTTGAAAAAACAGCGCGACTAAGACGAGGACACAACGACGAAGAGAACATAAGACAAAGCGCTGTTTTTTCAACACAAACTCTCACCAACTCGCCCAGTTATCTATCCTGGTTGGGTCGCAGGTCACCACGAGTTCTGTTTGTAATCATGAATGCGCAAGACGCCAGAAGGTGTCGTTCGTGCATTCATGCACAGCACCCTTCACCAGAAGTTTAATGTGTACCATGTGTACACTTCATAGTTGTTCCTAGAATGAAGCGATACTGGTAATGATAAACCTGGCGATCTTCCAGAGCCTTCCATATTCGCGAGCTCCCCTCCGTCAGTGCGCACAGGCGGCTGAGCACCTTCTTGCCTACTTCACGCGTCGCCTACCCCTTCTGGTCATGTGACCTCCCCCCCATACCAATCAGCATTGAGCTTCAAAGCCACGCTACCTTGCACTTCACTTTTCAGGCTTCACAAAATGCTGAGCACCTAGCCAAAGAATGTTTCACAGTATTAGAACTATTCTTTGGTCATTGCATTGCTTGTGTAATGATTTTGTTACCCTATCTTTCTACATCAGTCGAACGAGGTCAAGTCAAGCAACCATATGGAGACTGAGGGCCTCAAACGTTCTTTCGACTACCTCCAGGGTTGGGGGTTCTTCCCGGATGTACTTGTGACAGACCGGCACTTTGGAGTGAGTGCCCTCATGAAGGACAGCTACCCGAACACGAAGCACCGTTTCGATGCTTGGCACATTGCTAAAGGTAACTAACTTTATTTTAGAAAATAATTTCAGCAGTCGCTACCCTGGGGGACCACCTCAGATTAGATGTTTTTCTTCAATAAACAGGATATTTGGGTTTTCCCATATGCATAATATATTTTACCAAGCTATGCTGAAATTGGTTTTCCTGTTATAGTATAATTTCATCTATTTCAGGATCTCCTCGTCACAAATCAGTATAGTGTGACACGCTCAATAGTCAAGTTTTGTAAAGTGCTATTCCAGCATGGTTCTATTCCCGTCTCCAGCTCGACGCTCGCCCTCCCGCAGCGGAGACGGGAAGCGCTCTAGTGAGGGTCCCCCGATTCTCCTGCTCAGTGGGCACGGCGAAACTGCTCGCGATCATGGCTCGCGAAATATCATTTCCGAATGCAAACAACACTCTTCACTGTCCCAACGTAGTGCTGCGGTCGGTATGGGATTGTACCTTACAGGAGAGTTTTAGTACTGCGGATAGAAGCAAACGAGTTGTAAGCCCTATTTTGCACGTGCGCCTCATCGCCATGCGCCATCCAAGACTGCAATTTTGGGCTCCGCACACTCACGGTGTGCAACACGCAAAGCTAACGCAAACACACAGCACTTGCGTTCACTCGTATACATAATACTAAAACTCACTGCTGCTTCACCGGCTTCCAATGCCAACAAAACGTGCTGCAGTGAGCAGACGTGCAAGCAAGTAGGCGTTCCTTCGAACTGGAAAGGCTGAGATTGGCGAAACGGCGAAGCGTAAAAATGAAAGTAACTAAATGTTATAAAAAAATTAATAATTAAAAAATGTTTTGGGCATTTGGTCTGGAAGGATTTCGGTGGCGGCTTACGTTGTGCCGATTGTCAGAAGTCGCGACTTTGATAGAAAAATATACTTTAACCACAATTGATGTAATTTTACATGGATTTCTCACATTAGCTAAAATGTTTTCATTGACTTTGGACTATTTTTATCTTATTACTTGGTAATTAAAAATGCTGCAATTGGCACCAGTGATGATAATTAGCACACTTTTGGTTGTCATATTTGCTCGCGCGTTTGAAATTAGATCAGAAGCATTGCTTGAAAAAATTACATATTAGAATATCTGAATTTTAATATTATTATTAATACCATTCGCGGCAGTGTATGCCCCCAATTAATGCCAAGATCACGAAAATATGCCATTTCACCATATTAGTCTTTCCAGAAAGGTATAATTTTGTTTTCTTTTTAGCACATGAAAAACTCTGACATAGTTATCAAGGTCGACAAACGGTCAAACCCTGGATGTAATATAAAGTCCCAGGCGTCACCCATTGCCTATAGAAAACACACGCACACACTTCAGCTGTCTGACTCGGACTGCGTCTTTGGGTTGTTGCAGTGAGAACAATGTTTATTAATTTATACGGTTTGTGGACATATTGTAAAAATTGGAATTATTCTTTTATTCTTGTGCTGAGAATAATGTTAAACCAATTAATCATCTAAATACCCAACAGCTCATTAAAAGGCCCGCAGTTCATTATTTCCCATGGCATTTATCTGAGCAGGAAAAGGCAGCGAGAACGCATAAATATCAGCAGGGATTTTCTCAACAACTAAAATATCAGCCTGGATTGAAACATTAAAACAAACACAAAATAAAGTTTCGGCGAACAACTTCTTTAACTAGATAATTACTATGTGAGACACATCTTGAGGTATGAAAGAATCCGAAAATAAAACCTATACTGAGAAATGAAATCTAAAGTAGAAATTAGTTTCGGTTTCGCTCCAGAATTAAAACACGCATCCTTGCGTAAATATTATGCTAAACACCGTTCTTGTTTTCAGGGTAAAGAGGTGACCTGCGCCCATAACGCCCTAGCTTCCTCGTATTACCAGAAATAATTTGTGTCGCTCAGTGAAGCCAGCACACTAGACAGGCTCAATTGCAACACGCATCTCCGACCCTCGCTATAACCGCCATTTTGGAAAATGAGTGGCGCTACCTATAATTAGTTAGAGTCGCAAATACACTAACTCGCGTTTACAAACTTGCCATACTCTGACTGTGTCCACTTTACTTGGTCGTCGATGCTCATACTCACATGCCAAAGTGCTATACCTCAGCTTGCCATGCATGTACATTTTCTAATTTCTAGGAATTGGGAGCAAGCTTGCTACTGCAGGAAAGACAAAGCGAAACAGCATCCTGAATAACTGGGTGAAGACTGTTCGTGCCCATGTTTATTGGTGTGCTCAAACCAGTAACGACAACGGTGCAATGGTGCTGGCCAAATGGAAGTCGTTGATGCGACATGTCTTAGACGTGCACCAGCACCCTGACCCGATGTACCCTGCGTGCACCCATGCCTCGATAGAGGACCGCTGGTGGCTTCTTGAAGGTAATGCTAATTGCTGTTTGATATATTTGTAATGTTAGCAAACATTAGTATTAGCAAACAAAAGGAAACTGCAGATGCTGGGAACTAGTTTCAGGAAGTGGTTCAATTGGTCGTGGCTTCTGCATAACCTTGGGTAGATTAAAAAGTGTAATAAACAAAGTGGAGGGTGATGAAACACTGCCTGCTCTTGATTGGATTAGCTGATAATAACATATGCAAAGAAAGAACAGATTCTGTTACTTCTACGCACCTTTTGCACTGCTGAATGAGGTGTATTCGGTGGCAACGTCGTGTGGCTGACTTATGCTGAAAACCAATAATTTTGTAATCTAATATATGTGAAAATATGGATCCTGTGTGACTGTATTTCTTTTGTCCAGAAATTTTTGACTAAATTGTGTGTATCTTCGCGCATTTACTTTACTCTCTGTTGTAATGTCAGAATGCATGAGCTGCCTAGGCCATTTTGCAATACCATAATTATGGTATAGCAGCAATTTTTATTTTTAACCAGCAGACTTATTTTGATGTCATGAAGACACACAGAATAAGAAAGCCAAATTTTGAGTTTGCACAGAGGAACTGTAGACATGACCCAGGAAGTGTTCTATGTGCATTGCCCCAGCGATTAATGTGGCGCTGTTTCTAACTGCAGGATCTGAGCCATACATCGCACTGGAAAAAGTTGTGATGTCGCATCAGCTTTTGAAAGACATCCCAAGGATCTCTGGAGATGGCCAGACGTACCGCTTGGAGTCTTTCCACAGCCTGCTCATCAGGTTTACACCCAAGTCAACTCACTTCACTGTAGAGGGTATGGCGGCACGGTAAGCTGAAATAGTGTGATTTGCTGATGCCACACTGTTTCCCTTTATATTTGTATATTGTGAAGTATGCTAAGAACATATTTATAGTCATGGGCCATATTTGGAATCTGAAACTTTTCGAGAAAAAATCGGCAAACATCTGTACACACGTGAAAACCTTGCAAAGATTTTGGTTTTATTCCACGGTCATTCATACAAAACTAAACACAAAGCTTGACCTGGACCTTACAATCCAAAACTCCAGATCCTCCCAACCTTTCTAAACTTTTGCATGTGTCCTAAACACACAAATCAGCATTTTTAAAGGTAAAAATGAAAAATTGCAAACATATACGACTCCTACGTGCATACAAAACTGTCCTTGAATTGAAGAGACAGCGTAGTTATATTATTGTTACCAGGCACGCAGCCAGGATTTTGTTTTGGGGGAGGCCCTCCCATGAAAAAATGCTGTATGAGGGGGAGAAGGAGAGGAGGCCCCAGCAAAATTTCCAGGGGGGGGGGCAAAATGGCCCCCCCACCCCCCTGGCTATGTGCCTGATTGTTACCTCTTCTGGTGGAGGCTCAGTATAAACATTGGTTTTACAATATTGAACGATTTCCACACAGGAAAATCACTTTGATGCAATGGTCCGGTAGAATAGCAATAAACAAGAAAATATGTTTTAAAAAGCAGAAAAAAATGTTTTTACAAAAGTAAAGTGTGCGAGATTCGGCAACCCTGCCCAATGTGTGTAAAGGCTCAGCAGACAATTACACACCATTCGGAAAAAGTTTGGCCCATCACTAGCAAACTATCGTGCCTGTTCTGTATTGCCTTCACAGGACTTCCATTGCTGTCCTCCACTACAATGAAAATTCAGAACGGAAACAAGCCAAAACAAAAGACAGCAAGGAGCGGTATGCACTCCAATACCCGAAGGCGAGAAAAGGCGAATGGGTTGTAAAACAAATCATGGAGCCTGCGTCATACGGTAAATGGAAACATTTTTATTGATAGAATGGCTGGGGTTTAATCATCACCATTCTTTACGTAGATTATGTCCACAAGCTGCTCAGCTGCTGCCTGGAGTTGGCGGAAGCCGTCCCCACCTACAAGGAGGCCGAGGCCGCCTATGTTCCCTGCTCTCGTAGGCAGCCCCTGTGCAGTGCATCCCAGAGGCCGAACAAAGAAGCTGCAGTCCTAGCCCACAGGACCCGGTTTCACACTCAACAACGCCAGGGCCAATGTTAGGCATGGGTGAGGAAATTGGCAATATTTTAAATTAAGTATTCTTACTACGGATGACAAATTAACTGAGTGTATTCTACTATTGAATAAATAAAGAACTTGTATGCTAGCTAGAATTTGCATAATATGTGTACACAAGTTTGACTGACAGTTTTGCTTTATTTCTGAAATGAATGAATGTTTTATAACCTTTCAAAATCAACTTCTTTATTCTTTCCCGTAAGCAATTATAATTTAACTGTAGAAATAATGGGGCAGATGCCAGCGAGCTGATGAACTTTCATCATTGTAAAACTGAAGACTTGCGGAAAAAACAAAACAAAAAAGAGTCAGCACAGAAACAGTTGAGGTTTGGGCTAGCTCATATGTCATGGTTAAAAATTAAAAGCAGGGGAAAGGCACGAACAAGAATGACCTTGCACTTTTTTTTTAATTTTTAACCATGAATTACCCAATAGCCCAAACTTCAAATGTGTCTGTGCTGTCCCTTTTTTGTTTTGTTTTTCCGAAGTCTCGGCTTTTACAATGTTGACAATTTAACTCTTTTGTTTATACAGCGTGTACACTACCACTTCAATCCCACTTTGGACGGTCCGCAAAAATCGGTTTCTCAACATATCCAGCTCGGATTTACTACACAGGTGCGGTTAAGCAGTGCATGCCGGGAGGAATTTAAAATATCGTCAAATAAACTTGCCTTGTTCAAGAAATAAAATCCGCCTGGGTCACCCGCAAAACGGCTTCATAGATTGCCCGAAACAAGTTATTCTTTTTTCTTATTACTTGAACAGGGCAAGTTTATTTGATGATAATTTAACTCCCTCTGTGCACCTTTGTAGTAAATCCAAGTGCAATACATTGAGAAACCGATTTTTGTGGACCATTCAAAGTGGGATGAGAGCGTTTGTGCACATGCTGCATATAATAGATCAGGTACAGGCATGGACAGTGATCAACAATACTGGAATCCCCTATATGTTGCAGATGGAAATCGCTCCCGGATCTTGCCGACCACACAGCATGGGAGCCTGACACGGCGGTGACGGCCCAGCTTCCCCCAGACCCACCACACGAACTGCTTGTAGGCTGTAAATCTGTATGTTCTGCAAATGGTATGCCCACAGACACTCATTAGTTTGCGAAAACAATCACGTACTGCGGTGCATGTTGGGAACAGACAAGCAATGCAGTGTAATGAACATGTGATGCTGATGAACTTTCCGTAGAAGTTCAGGAGCCCCAGATATGCCCAGAGTTCTTTTTGGTCTTTGGGCGTCTTCGCCTGTAGGATAGCATCCACCTTCTTGGGATTTGGGTGAATTCCTTTTTGGTCTGCAACATGTCCTAGGTAGGTACTCGATAGAGTCCTGCATGAAGCAGCATTTTTCTTTCCCTTGAGTTTTTGCCATATGTGATGTTGATCGTTCTTGAAAGTTACCACAATGTCATCCTGAAAGGCACCTGTGTATGTTAAGTTCCCAATGAGTTCTTCGATGATGCGTTGGAAGATAGCTGATGCTGGGGGTTATTCCAAATGGCACTCTGTTCACCTGATAGAGCCCTTTATGTGTGTTGATCACTGTGAGATCTCTTGATTCTTCTGTTCAGGGGATCTGGAAGTAGGCTTGTCTGCAATCCAGCTTAGTGAACTTCTCTCTCCATGACCAGTCTTCACAAAGAGATCTTCAGTATTGAGTGTAACCTTGTAATTCCCGCATATGCCAGCAAACTTGTCCGTTTGCCTTCATCACTGGAACAATTGGAGTCGCCCACTCACTCCTCATCACAGGAGTGATTATGTGCTTTTCCTCAAGACGTAATCTTTTGTCGGAGGGCGTACGGAACTGACCTTGGTCTGAGAAGCTTTGGTTGAGCATCATCATTCACGCCGATTTTCATGGCATAGTTCATCAGCTCTCGGACCTTCTAAGATGAAACTGTGTTCCTGTTGCACTCTTGCGAGAGTTAAGGTTTCTGCGCGCACGTTGTGCACTTCCTTCTAGTTCACTTGAAAATCCTGAAGCAATGCCCGTCCCAGTGTGGGAGGTCCCCCTTTCTTCACCACTTGAATTTTATGATGCATGACTTGCCCGTTTTACTGCATCTCCACTTGAACCATTCCCTCTGGAATGATGGGCTTGCCATTGTATGGCTTCAGCGTTATTCCCAAAGGTTTCAACTGGATGTCTGGAAGAATTTCTTGAAACGCCTCCAGGTTGATCACAGTCACGGGTGAGCCTGTGCCAATCTCTATCTGAAGAGGGTTGTTGCAAATCTCCACAGGTACTGTGATGAATTTCGGGCAGCTTGAGTCGATGAAATAAAACGGAGTTTCGGCTTCCGAGTTTTATGTAGTGACATGGTTGGTAAAGCTTGGCTTGTCCTTTCTTCTTGAGTCTTGTGGATCTCGTTTCCTGTCACGGCAGACCATTTGGAAGTGTCCTGTTCTTCCGCATATTACAAGCCGTGTTCTTTGCAAAGCAGCTTTCAGGGTTGTGATTGGTCTTGCCGCAACGGTGACTTGGGGTCCTGCTTGTGCAAGATTTTCAACTTGTGAAGCGCCTAAAAAACACGAGACAGGACCAAGCGCTGCGCTTGGTCCTGTCTCGTCTTACTCGTGTCCTCGTTGTTTAGGCGCTTCACACGTCAAACGTGTACCGACTAGCCCACCTATCCATTTTACTGCAAGATTTTCCTCTTCCCTCGCTTGCTTTTTTCGGAAATGATGTCTTGTATTTTTGTCCTTGCACCAAGCGATTGATATCTTGTTGGGTCTTGGTCTCGCTCCTTATTTCCTTTGCATCCTTCATGGCTACCTCCATCGAAGTGGCAAGATGCGCTGCTGCCTTGAATGTTGGTGTCAGTTCAACCGGCAGTTTTTCGAGAATGTTTCCGTCCTTGATGCCAATAATGAGCTTGTCTCGAAGTCGGTCGTGAAAGGAAATACCAAAGTTGCATTGCAGCGAAAGCTGTTTGAGTGCAGCTACGTAGTCTGCGATGGTTTCGAATTCCAACGACTTCCAGTGATGGAATTTGTAGCATTCAACCATTTGATTGGGCATCAGGTCGATGTGGTTCTACCCCAGTCGAACGGTCACATGCGCAATCGTTACAGGACGATTCGTCGGATAGGAATATTCGTCACAGGATGACTCGTCATGCAGGCAACTGGTCACATCGATCGGGCAGGGGACGATAGTAAATTTCAACAACTGCCCACATTCCCTGATGAGGAGTTTCACGACTTCCCACTGTTACATAAAGCAGTAGATAAAAAAACTAATTGTACAATAATCATCCGCTTTTCCTTGCATTCTATTACGAGTCTTCAGCAGGTTGATCTCAGTTGCTGGCTTGATTGAGCAATAATCCAACTGGCAGCCAAATTGGTTTTTACTTTTGCCTTGCATACACCTATTCGACAAAACCAATACGTATCGGAATTCGTTCTGCTGAATGTGTACGAGTACCCCTCCTGCAGCATCATGGCTCTACCCTCTCTGTTGCGATCACCTCCATCCGTTTGAATGTAGTCCGAGTTCAAAAATAGTCGCTCTTATATGGCCTCCGCATTCAACGTTCAGGACGGACCCAGAAGCTAAAACGTCTGTTACAAATTCTTTGACCTTGGGAAGCGAAAGACATGCTAAGAGGTGACCCACTTTGTCAGGTCGAACCAACATTCAGTGTTCGGGTCCGAACCAGAAGCTAACATGTCTGTTACAAATTCTTCGCCTTTCGGGAGCCAAAGACATCCTAAGATATGAGGTGAGCCACTTTGTCCGCCCAAGCAAAATTGAACAATACATTTTTGGGGAAACAAACTATTGTGGGACCGGTAGGCCATGTGACGAGTCATCCTATATGATGAATGTTCCAGTGTGACGAATCGTCCTGTGACAACTGTGCATGTGACGAATGGACCGTATCCCATACGCAGACCATAAGTACGATTTATAATCAAACTCTTCAATTTTCCCGATGCGAGGCATTCTTTAGGTATGAGATCGGGCATCACTCACGTTACCGCTGTCTCCTTTGTCGCTCAGTTGTTTATATCCGTCTTTGTTGCATGGATCTAATCCTCGTTGCCAGTGTGATTGATGTGCCGGTTAATTTGGGACAGTGCAGGATATATTTATTTAACTGTTAGGTTACAATCAAGCCCTGCACGCTTGGAAAAAAACAGACTGGGCATGGTCGCAGACCATGCCCAGTCTGTTCTTTTACAGGCGTGTGGTGCTTCTCCGTGGCTCGCTCTCCCCCGCCAGCGTCTTCGGTACACCCTCTGTTGCCTTAGCTCAATAGGATGTGTTCGCTATACGTGGCGAACATGAACATAATACATGGCAGAACCCAATGATTTTCCTATTTAGGATTTGAAGTGTTTTTGTACCGAAACAGATTTATCAAGGGGGGAATTTATCCTTTGCAATATATACTACCCGAGAATTGATTTCACAGGCAAGCAGTGCATTAAAACATAACTGTTATCAAAAACTGGTCTTACTTGTTCTGGTCCCTAGCTGCTGGCTCGAAATAAATGGGCTCATAAGACGAGAGCTGCTCATAGGCTATATTGAGCAGCCTCTCGTCCAAACACACGAGTCTGAAGAGTGCGCCGTCTGTGATACATTTCCCCACAATCTTTCCGGCTACTTTCGGAATGTCACGGCAACAGTGCCCCTCTTCTTGGGGGCAGCTTTCACAGGTGCACCTGGAAGAGCGTAAACCACAAAAGAATTGTATTTTATCCGCAAAGCTTCACTGCAGCTGCCGCAACCATCAAGTGTTGTTTCATTCCTATAATTGTGGGCTTTCTTAGTTTGCTGTGTGACATCTATCATGAGCCAATTCTAGTGGATGTGAAATTCTGAACAGATAACTGAAATAAAAATGATTTTGTAGATACCTTTGGTTGTTTTCTGCCAATCAGAAGTAGTACTTATATACTGATTGACACAAGGCATCCGTGGACTGATTAAATAATGTACCGGACTTGTGACACGGGGATGTGCTCTCTGGCACGTCGTTCCCTCGCTGGTAGTGGAGGGTCAAACCGGTACAAATCGGGGACATGTATTGCCCCTTGCAGCAAACCTCCAAAGTCTGCCTCGCGGGGTAGGCTGTCGTCGTCTGACATTTGTGCTGAAAGTAAGCATATGGATTAATTGTCAGATTCTAAAAAAAACGGCCATAGAGGCCCACTGAAGAGGAACACGTGCCTGCTAAGATGTAAATGTGTATTCGAGGTAAGTTTTAACTTTATACGTTGAGCTGCTTATTTTTTAGTGTCTCAAAATAAAGTTACCGGTCTAAAATCTGCAATGGAGACATTGACTTGAAATTCCCAGTTGAAACTCCAGCTCCCAGTACAAAAGAAATAATAATAAAAATAAAAAACAATTGGGGCCTTTTCCTTTGAACTTGGAATTGAGAACTAAAATTGTAATGTCCAAATCTGACCAGTAAAAGACTTATTCAAGGTAGGTTTCTACTTATATGAGAGTCCCTGATTTTTGCTGGCAATATTAAAGTCAAAATTGTTTAAATGCCTGAGCGTATGTGCTTTAATTCTGCATTCCTGCTTGAAGGAGCCAATAATACAATTGATCTCAAACTAATTACGTCATACAGCGACTTCATTTCATATAAAGAAAGTAATATTATATGGTAGCTTACAAAATGTCACTAACCACGGTCGGCTTATGCTAATAATACTTCACTCTTATCCACTGGCCACAGAAAAGTGAATGCAAATTTTGTTGTTTGCACCATGCAGTACGTCTGCACACGTTTCGTAAGATTCACACGCGATATTTTTCTGGCATAGGCGATGCAGAGGGGTGGCTCTATTGTTTCCGTTTCGCAAAAACCAACGAAACGAGTGGCCGCCGCCCGTGTACGGCATCGCTGTTTGACTCGAGCACATCGCTTTGGCATAAATACGTGTTGTGCGATTGATGCAAGAAGGGCACTTCAGTGAAACGCAACGTAATTTGCGATCGTGAGCTTTCGAGAGGTCATACCCTTCACGCGGCGTTCACACGGATCCGCTTCCACACAAATCCGCTTCCAGTGTGAATGAGCGGTAGCCGCTCATTCACACTGGAAGCGGATCCGCGTTCGCAAAGCGGTTGCGGACGCGGTTCTATAAAAATCACTCGATGACATCGAGTGCGTGTGCAATTGCAGTGGATCTTTATACAACCGCGTTCGCAACCGCTTTGCGAACGCGGATCCGAATCCAGTGTGAATGATCGGGCGCTAACACGGCATCGGCGCTTTCTCGCGTTTTGCTGAAA